AGGTATTTCCCATACAAGAAACAAGGAAGAAACCAAGGTTCAGAACCAGAGAAACCATATCAGGTGTCAGATGTGTTGAACACACAGCTAAAGGCTGTTGTAAGCATGCTGAGGTTTATTAAATGTCTGTAAGCTATGTCCAGCTTTGGAAATCCATGAGCTGCAAATGTTTTGAGGCCACAGGAAAACTAGAAAGTGCTGTCAAATACAACATGTCAAATTTATATTCCTCAGGCATTTGCTTTTGGTCACTGATAGTGGTCAGGCTCCCTGTCCATCTTGGTTTTACAGCTGTCTAACACAACTCCCTTCATAGAATGCTTTGGGTTGGAAGGGACCTTAAAGATCACCTAGTTCCAACCCTCCTGCCATGGGCAGGGACATCTTCCACTAGATCAGGTTGCTCAAAGCCCCATGCAACCTGGCCTTGAACACTTCCAGGGATGGGGCATCTACAACTTCCGCGGGTGGGGGAGGCATCCACAACTTTTCATGGCAACCTGTTCCAGAGTCTCACCACACTCAGAGGGAAGAATTTCTTCTTAGATATAATGTAAATCTACCCTCTCTCAGTTTAAAGCCATTACCCCTTGTCCTATCACTACATGCCCTCTCCAGCTTTCTTGTAGGCTCCCTTTAGGCACTGGAAGGCTCCCAGAGCCTTCTCCAGGTTGAACAACCCAACTCTCTCAGCCTGTCTTCAGAGGAGAGGTGCTCAAGCCCTCTGATCATCTTTGTGGCCCTTCTCTGACTCCTTCCAACAGCTCCATGTCTTTCCTGCGATAAGGATTCCAGAGCTGGACGCAGTACTGCAGGTGGGGTCTCACAAGAACAGATTAAAAGGGCAGAACCACCTCCCTCAACCTGCTGGCCATACTTCTTCTGATGCAGCCCAGGATACAGTTGGCTTTCTGGGCTGCCAGCGCACATTGCCGGCTCATGTTGAGCTTCTCATCAACCACCACCCCCAAGTCCTTCTCCTCAGGGCTGCTCTCAATCCATTCTCTGCCCAGCCTGTACTTGTGCTTGGGATTGCCCCAACCCAGGTGCAGGACCTTGGACTTGGTCTTGTTAAACTTCATGAGGTTCTCACAGGCCCACCTCTCCAGCCTGTCAAGGTCCCTCTGGATGGCATCCTTTCCCTCCAGTATGCCAGCTGCACCACACCCTCAGTCATCCTTCTTCCAAAGTGAAGAATTCTTACTTAGCTACTGTTCACACTGAACTTGATTCCTTCCTTTCATCATCGATTTTATCCTCCCATAAACCTTTTGAGTGCTACAACTTTTTTAATGTGCAAAAAACAAAACCTGTCTGAGAACAAGAGAGAAACAAACCTATCATCCAGTGATTTTTCAGACAAGAGCATTAGTGACAAGTTTTTCTAACTCATCTATGCAATAGGTTCAAGCATAATAGTGTTCTTCCACTGGACATACCTTATCATTGCTCTTGTATTGCTGACATTTCAGATAATTAGTCCTGCTGGGTGTAACTAGACTCATCTGGAGTTAGTTCTGGAAACAGGAAATAGTGTTTTAGGAGAATACTAACAGAAAATATAACTTTAAAAACAACCTTCCCACATGGGCTCTGGAAAAGCTACTTAACTAACGTGTGCTCAAGGTTTAAAAGAACTTGAAAACACGAAGTACTATAAAAATCTCTCTGATCTCAAAAGGCTGAGTTTTATATGATTCATACTGATTTGAAATGAACTAAGGTCAGGACACAGTGGATCACCCTATAGGAGACAGCACAGAACTGGAGAGAAACGTATATTGAATAGGAAAAAGATCATACAAAAACAAATTAATGGAGTCAGAAGCAGGTGAAGGGCTAACCCCTACCCCTTGTGCCAAAGTTAGCAAAAGTAATTACAATATGTTAACTGTCTATCTTTCTCCTCAACTCTCCTGGCAAGAACCACCAAACAGCCAAAACTAGTAGAGATCTCAAGTCCTAACCAAAACGGGAATTCTCTCCAAGAACATCCTGCCAAGTAATTCTTGAAACGTTCTGCTCAATTTACAAGATCACCCTTCCATATAAATACTGGGCTGGCTTTGACAGCTCAGAAAACCGAGAGATGAATCCTAGTTTTCACCAACACAGGCACAAAGCACACAGTGCTGTGAAACCAGCTACTTGAAAATATGGAACACAGGCAAGCGAAGTTTATTTAAGAGGGTATAACCACATACACAAAACACTCAAGATTTGCCTCCAAGACCAGACCAAGACAAAGATTTTGAGTAACTGACTGTGTGTGCATGTGCTTACTTTGGGCATTGAATCTGTCTACCTTCATCAGATATAATCCATTTGTCTGGCACATAAACTTTGAAGTGCATGATTTACAGTATACAAATTCACCATCAACCACTCCATAACCATTCTCTACCCAAAAGACTAAAGAAAACTATTTCAAATTTCAGGTGATCAGCTATTTTTTCATAATAGCTTATTATAAATTATTACACAGTTTACTTTTTTCAGTTTTAAAAAAAAATCATGATAAAACAGCCCACATTATCTTTTTTGGAATATACTAAGCAATGTAAAGTAAAAAAACCCCAAGTGCTTACATGACCAAAAGAGATTATTCCAAAATCAGCCCACTATAACAAAAATGACCACTGAAATCTAGTCTGAGTGAACCACACAGCTCTACTGAAAGGCAGTCATGGTGCCAGGATACGCACTGCAACAACAGCCGTTGCCAAAAGATGCTAAACTTTCGAAGCTTGCCTGGGACATGGGATTTTGCCCTTGGAGGTGACCATCAGGGATTGTCTCATTATCTCTGCCCCTCTGCAACCCCTAAAACCTTCATATGATTGAGGATCTTCTGAAAAATCAGGAGGAGTAATTAAGACATCCCTCATGCTACTCTAGTTCATAGTTAGGCTCTCCCTTGCCATGTGGGCAATATAAATCTGAACACTTGAGGCAGCGGATTGTCCATCTCCCATAGCCTCAAGGGGGCTTTACTTTATAAATGGTCTCTAGAGCTCTTTTATTCTTCATATTCTTCCTATATGCTCAATGTAAGACTATACCACGTTCTTCTAAACAAGAATTTGTCAAAGTGGAAACATTTATATATCAGCTACCATTTCTTTCTGCCCATTACCAACACTCAACAAAAGCATTTCTGCATTTATTTTTGACACATGTAGAAATTTTGGGTGGAGACTCAGTGTATGTGTGGCACATTCAGCAAGAGCTGAAGTATTAGAAGAGTTCTTGATTCAAACAGTAAGCCACAAACAGTACTGCCAACTCATATTTCTGTTATAATTGCACTTACTCATATTTTTGCTCTCTCTAACATGAAAGGAACAGCAATCAAGTTCAACACAGTGGACTTGTTTAAAGCTATCTATTCTCAGGAAACTCTTCTTGAAATCAAAGTCAGCAAGTTACTTGACGATTGCAAGTTTACCACATAGTCTATAGAACTACAATAATTCATCTACCTATACCAAAGTCCGTAGTTCTGTCCGAAATATGGCTCTCCTGTTATCAAAGTCCATGAGATTTATCCAGCACAGAGCCCCAACACCTCACTGAAAGGAAATACTTAAATAACTCAGAGCTGATTAGCACAGTAAACTATTCATCTGTTAACCTTGCTACTGCAGTCAGGTGGCAAAAAAATTTCAGTTTAAAATTTTGCTTTGTAAAACGGAGTAAACACAAAGTTAATCAATAGAGGGTACTACATCAGGTGATATTATATTGGGAGTGTCTATTTAGCAGAGAAACAAAATAAAATGACAAGCCATTATTATTTACCTCAATAACACTTCCCTGTGTACTACAGGTATTTTGTATTTTTTATTTTTTAGCATAACTCAAGGCAGAACTCGACTACAGATAAATACTAGGTCTGAAAATCGATGCATATTTTTAGTGTCAGTTCTACAAATTTTTACAGATACTTTGTTCTTTAAATCAAGACATGGCAAAAATTGTGTTTTTCATAAATACAAACACGCATATACACCAGCTTTTAAATTAACATGATAAAAATAGTCTGAATACTTTTTTTTTATATAAACCCACAATCAACAACTAGGCTTTTTTTTTTTTAAACAGTAGTTACTTTTCCATACAACAAACACTGATTTTTATTTTTTTTAACTCACCAGTGGTTGTAATAAAGCCTTCAGAGAAAGAAATCAAATGTCTGCAAATGAAAGTTCTCAAAGTTAATGGGAAATTTAACTCCATATTTGGCAAAGCATTTGAGTATGTTAATTTAAGCACTTCAACAAAACCCAATATAAACAGATTCAAAGATAAAGAGGCCTAATTCCAAATGTCATTTAATTATTTACGACCTTAAAACTGAACATATGCTTAAGTGCTTTTCTTAACTAATATTAATATTAACTGGTTTTACAATAACTGAGCTGTCTTTTAAAGATATTGAAAGAAGTTTGATAGTTATTTTTCTCCTGACCTCTCCAGCATATGCTACAACCTTCCTTACTAGGGACAAAGCCTGTAAAAAGCAAGTGAACAACTACATCATCATATCGACATTTGATAGAGGAAACATAAACAAAATGAGCAAAACTGACAGTAAATTTTTTTTTGAAAGTCTGAATTACAAATCCTCACGTCATGCAAAATCATTGATCCCTGAAAACATTCGGATTATGAAATAAAGAGGCATCATTCCCATAGGACAGGTGTAATGATTAAGAGTAGTTTTACAGGACACTACCTTTTGTAGCATTCCTTCCATTGCACATAAATGGCTTTTAAAATAATCATGCCTGTGATAATTATTATCAGCATACAACCATGAATATGAGCACTTAATCAAATCGGGACCTTAAACTAGAGGGAAACATCTTTTTAACTCTACTGCAATGTAAAACTGGCAAGATAAGCCATCCTTCAGGATACAGACTTGCTGAGAGAGGAAGAGGAGAAGAAAAGTAGGATTGACCAACTGTGTTATTCTCTTTTCATTAGTTGCTTATTTCCTCTCCTGCTGTTTTCATTTCCCCCTCGCTTCCTTTCCAGCTGAACTCACTTCTCCCATTTGCTTTCTCACAGAGTTCACTTTTTCTAACAACAGGAATATGTGCTCTGCAAACTCCCGGACAGCTCCGCAGCCACCATTGCTTTTACAAATGTAGCCAGCAGCCTTCTGAGCAAGGGCACAAGCATCAGCAGGCACACCACTCATGCCAGCTTTCTTCAGGCACTCCACATCAGACTCTTCATTTCCTATCGAGAAAGATGACAGACCAGGCAAAAATGTCAGAGGATGGAAGAACTGAGCAAACTGAGAAATATTTTCCTGTATACATATTAATCTTCTTTTTTTTTTTAATTTGTATTCTTGCCACAATTTTCATCTCAGCAACTCAACAGCACCTTGCGGACGTGAGTCAGTTCTCGGAAAATCTTAGTGATACATGTAAACACTGATCACACTTCACGCAATCTTCAGGCAAGAGAATGGTACTTTTAAGAGTAGTAAAATTATTTGAGCAACTGAATAAGCATTTGCAGGACTATGCACTTAAGCTGCCACTGAAATATAGTTTTGTACAGAATCATGTGGCTTTCAGTTTTAATTCTGCCTATCTCTTGTTTCCATTTCAGAATATAATCTATATAATATCCATCTGAAATAAACTAGAATCAGTTCTAAATTGGAAACTGTAACTGTATGCATGTGTAATAGGCAAAAATAAGGCTCTCTGAAGGCAGTCTAAACCTGTATTTAACTTTCTTAAATTTCATTATAAAACCAGCTAAGACTTCTGTTACCAAATTAGACACTGATTCGTGGATGCCTTTAATATTTAGATTGCACCCTGACACGTCTTCAAATATGCACTTGTTTTTTTGCTATTACAGCTTGTGTGCTGTAATTTGCACGTCAAGCCCATTAAGTTCAGCGTTGTGAAGCTGAGCAGCACTACGAAGTTTGTACTTGCCTGTACTATACGAAATTTTGCTACCAAAAAGAAAGGAACTGACCTAAGTAAGCGACTTCTTTCCAGCTCAAACCCATGTCTTTTTGCCAGTCCTCCAGGACTTGTAATTTATTTGTTGCGCTAACTTTTGCTATACATCCCAGCTGCATGGCCGACAGCGTTTTTGAACAATCTCTTTCAGAGATGAGTCGAACCTATTAAAATAAAATCAAGTTAGAGTAAACTCTACATACAAAGAAATGACATGTAAGGTGATTTATTGAAAAAAAAAATTAGAAGTTTTGCTTGTAGAAGCACTCTCAGATACCAGAAAAACACTGAATAACTGGTTTCTTCAATCAAAACTCAGAGCAGTAGTGATTAGCATCCAAACCCATGTTACAGTCTTGAAGTTGCTTTGGGAAAGTGAAACACCATTCTTTAGTCTTCCCTTTTTTAAAAAAAAATCTCAGACACAGTGCCTCCAAGTTTTCTGTCCAACCTGCGAACAAGCTTATCTTCCCTAATTGCTCTTAAACACTAACAAATACTTGGTACTGACTCTAAGTACAGAATGAACAACAGTGGTGCACAACCAAGAGTATATCAGCAACATATACCAGAAATAAATAAAGTGCAGGACAAAGACCAGGAGGTTTTTAATGACATATTCCAAGGTACAGCAGGTATGGAAACGGGCTCCCACACGCAACAGAACAGTGATTACAGGCTTCCTCTCCCTTTTGCCTCACAGAAAATGAAGCTGAGGGAGTTTTGAAAAAAACAACTACTCCATTTCACTGTCCCAAGGCAGCAACAGCTGTGAATGTCCTGTCTAAGCTGTTATAAAAAAATCCTACAATAGAGACTCTAGAAATGTATCTAGAGAAGTCTACTTGGGGTATAGCTACCTTTGTCTTATCCATGCCTATCTCTGTCTGCAACAGCACTGAGTTAAGGCTCTTTGAAGGCAGCCTAAATCTGTACTTAGTTCTTACTCCCCCAAAAATTCTTCTAGCTATACCAAAGACAGCAGCACAGACAGAAAATAGCCAGAAGGCTAATTTTACATAAATACAAGCAAATATTCAGATCAGCAGAATTTAGTAGCAGCAATAATAATAATAATGAAAGCAGTCATGTTACAATCTGTATTGTTTGAGTTTTTAATTTGCACTGAATTCTTAAAACTATCAAAGCACACAAGGTATGGTTAAAACAACTATGCAGACAACAGTGTTTTGGGTTTGATTTCCCCTCTTTGCAACAATTGCAGGTGATCTAGGATGAACCAACTAACCTGCCTGGGTATTTCTTCCTCTTCTACAGCCAAGGGGTAACAACATATCCTTGCTTGGTAAAGCTGACTTCTAATTAATGAGTGTCTAGACTACACAGAACAATACGATTTGTGCTAGCAAAACACCATAAAAATGTCTTCCCATGTTTTTCCAGAACAAAAAGAGAAAAATACTACAGCCACTGTGAATGAGATTGAGAACTTTCTCAAAACACTTTTATTTTCCTCTAAGGGATCCGAGAACAACATTTGTCCCAACCATGAACCAATATATTATGCTGTTTGATCACAAATACTCTGAAGAAACTTCAATTTATATGCTGGAGGGTTTTAGAATCTTTTAATGTTCAGGTTACATCAGACATAAAACTTCACACTTCAGAATAACACTTACCTGAATTCCTCTTTTCTTTAATAGGTCGATACCAACAACATCTCTATAATCATAGGAGACCATTTCCTTCCGATCTTCCGTCACATAAATGCGACCATTGGTCAGGCATCCATCAATACTGCAAACCAATAGCTTCACTTCTTTTAATGGCTCTTTGCCAAAATATCCAAAGCTAGACAAAGAAGTTATCTTTTTAGGATGGAAGTTTTTGCACACTCCAAAACCAAATATTTCAAATACAACTGTGATCTTCAGAGAGAAGAATCAGCTTTGAAATTCTTTTTTGTTCATGTCTTTTCTCATCATCGTCACTCTCCAACTATATTCTCCCTCTTCGAAGAAAAAAACAGAATGATCCAAAAGACAGCTGAGTTACATTGTCCATTTAAACATTAAGATGAGATTTATTTCCTTAGCATAAGAGATTATGTTCTGTAGCATTTATTTGGGGCAAAACCAAATCAGAGTAAAGGATGAAAAAGGCACAGAAAACATATTCCATTCCCACTCATTATTTCCTTAGAGAGGTGCAGAGTATCTGCAAAGAAAAGGCAGCTGGCGAGATGTAATCAGCTCATGCCTTCTACATGAACACTCTCAGACATGTGCATCAGTAAATGTGGTCCAGACGATGGGAGCCTGGACAACTCAGCTAGAAAAGCCAGAGATGATGCTAACACACTGCTATGCTATACTGGAGTTTATACTTTTCCCTAAGCTGAACTTTAAAAAAAAAAAAAAAAAACAACAACAAAACCAACCATATAGCAAAGGTAATTCAGATGATTTCAACAGAAACAAGAAAAAAAGATGGCCCGAAATAAAGTTGTCCAATTATCTTTGATCTTGATTATTTACATTATAAATTCACATGACCATACTTTGAAACAATGAGCGGTATCAAAGACAAAGGTGCTTTTACCTCAATACTCTCTGCTCTGCAATAGGCCAATCAATGTCTATATCAATATCCACACTGTGCTCTGCACGCATTTCATAGTAGGCCATTTTACCACCCTAAATAAAATAGAACCCATTAAAACTTTCTGATTGGGTTAATACGAATACAAAACCGTAAAATTTAGTATCACGTAATGAAAGCCAAGTATCTGGTTATACAGTGGTCACAACAGCTTATATATAAAGTGCATCATCAATAATGATGTTTTTGCCAGTGACACAGTACCAAGCATTTGAAACAACTTGCTATAGGCAATAGTCAGCAAGTTTTTTCATTTTACAACTACAGAAAACATGCAAGAAAGATGTTATGCATTGTAGTCATTATGTCAGACTGATTTCACTAGGTCTTTTAACACAGTAAAATAGTAATACCTTTAGCATTTACTTAGTAAAGAGTATGCTTACTTTTTTGTTTGTTATCTACACAAAGACTTATTTTTCCAATTGAAATTATCCACCACACCCTAACATAATTAAAAAACCTAAAAGCCCTAATCCTCAGTGAGTAAGTGGCCCAGCCTTCATAAAATGTAGAATTCAACACAATTGTACTATCCAGATCAATGCTTTCAAGACCACACAACACTAGCTGGCACTACATGGGTCTGTGCAAGCTATGGAGACCTAAAGCTAGTATCTCTGCATTAGTGAGGTATCTGGAAAAGAGAGAACTAAGAACATGGTAATTCTAGACGTATCTAGTAAGGTATTCCCATTATAAATATGGAAATACCTACATTGGGCTTTTTTCCAGTTCTGTTGACAAACGCTGGAAATGATTTGTAAGATGGAGAACTTGTCTTGCATGAGAAAACTAAGAGACTATACTTGTAGGCAAACAAAATGAAAGCTGAAGTAAATACATTTGTTCTGCATTACTGCACTGGGACACAAACTTCAGGAAAGGGAAAAAGCCTGCTTAAGTTACAGTACAAAATTGGTGTAATACTGGCCAAGAACACAAGTTGACAGATTACACGAGAAGCCTGTGACACTGCATGAAGGTCAGTTTCACACCCTTAGTAACACTAAAATGCATTGTAAGATATGCACTTACATCCTGGTGAACGGATGTGAAACTCAATATTGCATTGTTTTAGGCTTACAGCTGTTAGCTGTATGCTGCTCAATATTATTTGTATAAATCTGTTTGCCGGGGAGGATGCTGTTACTGGAACTGCCCGAGCTACAGTCAGCCCTGTTAAGTTACAAATAATAAGCAAACTGTCCTGAGGTCAAAGTGCTGCTACTTCTTACTGACTGCATCAGAAACAGAAATACATTATTGAATTCAGAACCCTCTATAACAAAAGTGTAAAAGATACATTATTTTAAAGAGCATGAAAAACAGACGCACTAACCTGCAAGTAGCCTTTCTCAATCAAATGTCTCTTGGCAAAATAAAATGAGCCATTTTCATACAGCTCCCCAGGCCAATCTTGCCTCCGGTATCGTTTTGCCGGATTCAAGTTTTGAGGCTCTGTCATTTTGTTTTCTGTTAACAGATAAAAACAACAAAATCAGTTTTCCAGAATCCCTGTTCAGAGTCACTTAACTTTCTTTAAATAGCTTTCTGTTGAAAAATTAAGGACACTACTCGGTCACCAACGTCTTTCGTTATTGCCTCTCGTTGCTTAACTTTGTAAAGAATCACTGAATCGCTTGCTTTTTCTTAGAACTCTGGATAACTACCTGAAGGACTGCCCTGCATTTCTAGCAGAGGAAAAGTAAATTTTTCATTCCAACTTAAACCAAAAACAAACAAACAAATCAACCAAACTACAAAAAAAAACAAACCACCAAAATCAAAACCCAAACCACCTGAGAGGTCATCAGCTCCAAAACTGGTTACTGAAAGGAGCAGGAGGGACGTTCTTCTAGACCGTCCTTGCCAATGTGAAAGAAGAATAACTCTTTCTGTACTCTATGTCCTAGTACACAATAGTAAGAGGTTTAACTCACAGTGAGGGTAAATACAAAAAAAAAAAAATCCATTCAACTACCTAGATCTACAACCAGGAATACCCTAAACGAACTCCAAGAGCTGCGAGGATCAACCTGAAATTTGGAAAGTGAAAAAAAGATATACGAGAAGAAATTTTGCCTGAGAAAACATCGTGGCACTTCCTCAAAACACATATACACATTATATTAGCTTTTCAGAAGTGGTTTAATCAGTGTCCACAAATAAACAAGTGTCTTTGAACAAACATGATCCCATAAGATCCCACAGTTATCAATGCCAGTAGTGCTAACTAACACTGACCAGAGACTTCTGTCCTTACACCACCCAAATTCATGTGCACAAACCAGCTAAAATTCACCAGGTCTCATGATCTAGTAACCATGGAAAGGTTAGAGGGCATTCTCAAACACCCAAAACATCCTGAGGCTTTAGTATACATACACATCTTGTATTTCATAAACACACTAGAGCTTTGTGCTCAATGAATTAAATATTCCCAGTCAGAGAGACACAGTGTTCATCAATATTAAACCTTACTGAAGAAGGAACAACAGAAATACACAGGAAAAGATATAAAATTACTTTAACACAATCAGTACTTTAAAGCCATCTGGGGGAAAAAGAAAGAAAAAAAAAAAGTACAATATTAAACTGTATAACACTCTTGCAAACCACTGTCACCTGAAACACCACACTCCTGAACGGCTATTTGCTTTTAGCCTTAAGCTGCTAACGTTTGCACAACGTGCTCCTTGTTCTCCTCGCACATGCTCCTGGCGACTGAACGATGCTTTATCTCTTGCCACATTAAAGACTTTAGATGTCATTTTATACTAGAGAATTATTTGCTCTTTTAGGTAGGCCTTGAGCTTTTTTATTTTAACAATCTACCTATAGAGAGTAGGTGGCACACGATCACTTCAGAAAGCCACACGGCACATCCCACGGAGATTTAGTCTTTCCCAGATGTCCATTCCAGCATCTCAAGATGTGAAGCAGACTTCCACTCGGTTGCCTGGAGTGCAATCCACAGAATCCTAAACTGCCATCCACAATTTTGATACTCCTCTTATACCTTACGAACAAACTTTGTCACGTTATTTCTCCTCTTATGAGTAACGATGTGTTCAAGTTGACTGTTTATTCTAAATAAAGGCCTAACTTTCATTCCAACTTATCTCTAATACCAAGCCTCATTTATTTCGCATGCTCTTTTACAGCATAGTGCTTTGTAAACTCATAAAAAGATTTTTCATCTGATGCAATTATATATCTCAACAGAATAATTGTAATGTCTGAGTAACACGTTCACTTTTAAAATACTAAAGACATGACAGTATCTGAACTAACTACTTTAGAAAAAGAAGCAAGCATTTCTACTTTAATCACCAAAACAAAAAACAACATAGGCAACGTGCAGAACAGTTCTTTCTACAAGGACAAAAGGTACTTCTATAGCTACAACAACGTACAATCTTTATTTGTAAGTTATGAGATCAGTCTTTAGTCATCTTGGAAACTGTAGCTGAGAGGCATATTTTTCTCTGGGAAAAAGAGTCATATTCTTCTGTATGAGCTAATTAATGAGTTCAGTCCTCATGACTCAAAGGCAGTTTGCAATTTGACTTAAGCTGGCAGACAAATTAGCAGGCTGAAACAAACCCAAAGTCTCCAGGCTAAGAGTTTGCCATCCCATCTTCACGAAGACTTTACCTCACATTACTTGCCATTTGTTAGCTACTGCATAGTGAGAACAAACACCTTCCTAGTTAAGGCAGGACCTCAGTGTTGTGTCTATATACATGTAAACATCCACCAAGCAGAATTTAACATGTAAAGTTTTTAGGAGCTATGTTTTGAGCCCAAACAAGTTAATAACATTTTAATTTTCAATACCTTAGAACTCTACAAAACAATTACAAAAAGGCTGAGCAATCATCAGTTAATATCAAAACAGCACTACTTAAAAGGAATTACTGAGCCATCTCACACCTCTCCAAGAACTCAAACCCTGCCTCTGACATCAATTCTTAACGTAAATACCATGGGTATGAAAAAAAAAACATTTGATTCAGTAAAACTGCAACCAGAAACAGCTAAATATTACCTCCTTTTTTTACCTCGCTCCATCTAAATTGATGCCGTCTCACAACAGAGAAGACAGAATCAAACCCCTCCTTCTGGATCAGATCTGCCACTTTTATAAGATCACTGGGATGTAAACAGGGAGAGGTTGCTTGAATATTTCCTACAATATCAACCTCTAAAGAAAAACAAACAAACAAACATTTATGAAATAATAAATATTATTAATACACACAACTGCAGTGTGGTGCGAGTCAATGTCACAAAAAAAGGAGAATCTATCTAGCTTTTATTTACTAAAGGCTTTACTAATTTTTCTACATAATCAGTACATCATCCCTCTGGGGCTACAACACAAAAGATCAGAATATTTCATTACTGATTTACCATGATGATGATTAAGAAACTCTCTGATAGCTTCCAGAGAAGTTGAGGAGTCTTGAGACACTTCGGGGCTTCTGCGATGAACTTGAGCACCAAACTGCTTTGCAACCTTCTCAATTTCATCATGGTCTGTAGAAACCCATATACTGTTGGCAGACAGTGAAAGAAATGAACATATAGAACAAATCCCAATATTGTTGGCTTGCCTGCCATAATCTAATCTGAACCAGATCCTGATTTATGTAGGTACTACACCTTGCAAGGAAAGGAACTAGTTCTTACATTTGTGTTCGTAAAACTATCCCTGTCAGTCCAACAAGCAACTTTTAACAATAGAGATAAAACATACACATTCACTAGATTGTAAAATCTCAAGCTTGGATTGCACTTCAGTCTAGTACTGTAGGGTGTCTGATCTACCTTCCATGTAGGAAGCTTAAACAACATAAAATTCAGAAGTGTTACAGAAAAATCCAGTGTCAGCATGCCACAATTTGTTGGGCATGCTAACAGATCAATGAATTGTGAATGGGCTGAATGAGGCATTCAAAATCATTCAAGAGTTCAGAAACAAGGCTGACAAGAAACAAAACTGCCACACAGTTATAAGATTATATAAATTATAAGATTAGCTTAATCTGCAAGTGGTTTAAAACTTGTTAGGCTTCATACAATCCCAGAGAAAGAGCTGTTCAAGTTACAATGACATATGATTTGGCACATAAAACCTCCAATACTGGTAAAGCAAGATTGTGATTGTTCAGGGATAATAAACATTTACCAAAGGAAGGGCTAAGTCTAAGCATTATGTGATGATAAACACTGGCTGAACACTGTGATGCCACTGCTGTCATCACTGTGACAAGAAAAAACATGTGAGATACGAAAACAAAAACTATGAAAAATAATCTTTCTTCTCTCAGCAACTCTGGCATTCTCAATGTATTGTACATAGCAAAGGGAGCTTTACTTCAGTTTTTTCACCCAAAGACATCAAGGGATTATCAGAACAAAAATATGTATGACAGTGACAGCAATGTCAAGTCACACCCATGTGAACAAATGCAGAAGAGGTATTTTCCATACATTGCTTCAGGCTGGTTAGCTTAAATGCACGCTCCCCATTCAACTAACAGAGTTGTGTTGTTGGACTCGATGATCTTCAAGGTCTCTGGAATCCAAACTAAACGATTCTATGTACCCTGTCAGCACAGCTGTTTCAAAGTTGACTAGAAAACCTCGCACACTTCCATCTCATGCACCTGTTACACCTCAAAGTTAGGTTATGCAACCTTAATTGACTTCCTATTGGGCAAATTCAGATGTCAAACAGAAAATGAGGAGGTGACTCAAACCACCATATCCATCACAGGTCATTAAGCAACATGGATTCACATACATTAAGTAATTATGAGTAATCTAGGTCAGAAACAATTTTGACTGCTTCTTTATTAAAAATAAAGCCAAGTCAGCAATGCTTCCTCTACTTTTCAGATACAGTAAAGAAGATTTTCCACAATAAATAATGGTACAGCACCTGTGAGATACAGAAGGCTTGTACTTACTTCCAGCTCTGAATCTAGCTGGGCTACATTTCTACTTGACTACATCAAGCCCCTGCTCTGAACACAGTGCAGTAGGTTTGTACTGGGAACCTGCACCTAGGTATGCTACATACCAAATGCATCCTAACTGCGCACTGGTTTTAAGTTTATCAGTATGCGTGTAGAAAATTCTCAGGTTTGTTCTGGCAGAAAAAAGGAATTTGTAATGCCCATATTCCAAACACTAAAAACACAGCTTTCTATCTAGCTCTAATTATTGCTACCAAAGTTTCACGCACTTTGCCACAAACAGAGCTTTTGTTCTGTGTCATATGGGCACACACAATTATTTTCTTCCACTCGATGTTTATGAGGCTGCCTCTGACATGATGTGTCCAGCTGTGGGCTCCCTGATACACGAAAGAAAAACTGGAGCAAGCCCAGCAGAGAGCCAGCACGACGACTGGGGCCTGGGAGCACATGCATTCCAGGAGATGCTGAAAGAGCCATCTCGATTCAGTCTTACGAAGGGAAGGCAAGGGGGTGACCTTATTGTCATCTTCAAGTACCTGCTGGGCTGGCAGAGAGAAAAGAGAATCCTCTTGGATGAGCGCAGTAAGAGGACACAGACACGTACCACAAGAAGAGAAGTGCCAATTAGATAACAGCAAAACAATTTTTCAACCATGAAGGCTATTGATCCCTGGAACGACTCTGGGGTCTCCATCCTTGGAGATGCCAAAGCCCAGCCTCACGCGACCCTGAGCGACCCTAACCAGCCCAGCTTTGCACAGCGGGTGGGACCAGTTATCCTGTGATTCACAGGATATTAGCTACACTCTAGCAGTTTCCCTTAATGCAGCCATCTCAATAAACTAAAAACATCAGTGCTTACTGGCAAACGTTGTCAACTAGCAGCTCTCAACCAGGCATCTGAACAACTTCGATTTCAAACTACGGTGTTGTAAGACTTTGGTTCCTTCATTCCTTCGCAGCTCACCCTCAGCGGGAAGGGAGAGCGAAGCTGACGGCCGTCAGGTCGGCTCTCCCTTCCCGCTGAGG